GATAAGCTATTATTTTGCAGATAGTGTCCCATATCAGTTAAGTGTAAAAACTGTTAACATGAAGGTATTAAAATTTTGTTTTGGACTACCCTATTGGGTAAATATATCCAATATACATTGATATCCAAGGCATTAGTGAGCTGAAATGGACTGCTTTTGGTCATTTTGAATGAGACAAGCATATGATCTATTATGTTGGGAATGATAAATTGAACAGGAATGGTGTGGCAGTCATCATCACAAAGAATGTTTCAAGATTTATCCTGAAGAACAATGCTGTCAGTGACAGAAAATATCCATACGCCTACAAGAAAGACCAGTTAATATTACTATTATTCAAATTTATGCACCAACTACAAAGCCAAAGATGAGGAAATGAAGATTTTTACCAACTTCCACAGTCTGAAATTGACTAAACATACAATCAAGATGTGCTGATTATCACTGGTGACTAGAATGCAAATTTGGAAATGAAGAATCACTGGTAGTTCAAAAATATGGTCTTGGTGATAGAAATGACACTGGAGATCACATGATAGAATTTTGCAAGACCAATGACTTACTCATCGCAAATATCTTTTTTCAACAACATGAATGATGGCTATACATGTGGACTTTGCCAGACAGAGTATATAGGAATCAGATTGACTACATCTGTGGCAAGAAGTGATGGAGAAGCTCAGTATCTTCAGCCAAAACAAGGCCAGGAGTTGATTGTGCAACAAACCATCAACTGCTCATATCCAAGTTCAAGCTGAAACTGAAGACAATTAAAACAACTTCACAAGAGCCAAAATATGACCTTGAATATATCCTTCCTGAATTGAGAGACCATCTAAAGAATAGATTTGCTGCAATGAACATCAATGACCAAAAACCAGAAGAACAGTGGGATGACATCAAGAACATCATCCATGAAGAAAGCAAAAGGTCATTAAAAAGACAGGAAAGAAAGAAAAGACCAAAATGGATGTCAGCAGAGACTCTGAAACTTGCCCTCGCAGAGAGTAGCTAAAGCAAATGGGAGAATCAACAAGATAAAAGAGCTGAACAGAAGATTTCAAAGAGTGGCTCGAGAAGACAAAGTCAATTATAATGAAATGTGCCAAAACTTGGAGTGAGGAAACCAAAAGGGAAGAACACACTCAGTATTTCTCAAGCTGAAAGAACTGAGGAAAAAAATTGAAGCCTAAAATTGCAATATGAAAGATTCCATGGGCAATATGTTGAATGATGCAGGACTCAAAAGAATGAATGGAATACACAGAGTCACTATACCAAAAAGAATTCGTAGATGATCATCCATTTCAGGAGGTGGCTAATGACCAAGAACCAATGGTACTGAAGGAAGAAGTCAAAGCAACACTGAAGGAATTGGCAAAAAACAAGGCTTTGGGAATTGATGGAATACCCATAGAGATGTTTCAACAAATGCAGGCCCCATTGGAGGCACTCACTTGGTTATGCCAAGAGATCTGGAAGACAGCTACCTGACCAACTAACTGGAAGAGATCCATATTTGTACCCATTCCAAAGAAAGGTGACCCCACAGAATGTGGAAATCATTGAACAATATCACTGATATCACATGCAAGTCAAATCTTACTGAAGACAATTCAAAAATAGTTGCAGAAGTGTATTGACAGAGAATTTCCAGAAATTCAAGCTGAATTCAGAAGGAAATATAGAGCGAGGGATATCATAACTGATGTCAGACAGATCTTTGCTCAAAGCAAACAATACCAGTAAGATGTTTACTTGTGTTTTATTGACTATGGAAAGGCATTTGATTGTGTGGATCATAACAAATTGTGGATAACATTGAGAAGAATGGGAATTCCAGAACACTTAGTTGTACTCATGAGGAACCTGTACATAGGCCAGGAGACTGTCATTTGAATACAACAAAAGGATACTGCATGGTTTAAAATCAGGAAGGGAGTGTGTCAGGGTTGGATCCTTCATGTTACTTTTCAACTTGTATGCTGCTCAAATAATCTGAGAAGGTGTACTATATGAAGAAGAACGTGGCATCGTGATTGGAGGATGGCTTTTTAACAACCTGCGATACGCAGACAACATAACTCTGCTTGCTGAAAGTGAGGATGACATAAAGCACTTACTGATGAAAATTAAAGACTACAGTCTACAGTA